GTCCTCTCCTCCCTCCCTGGGCATGTGCATTCTGGGAATGGTGCTTCTCCCAGACTCCAGCAGAGAAGTCCCTTTCCTCTTTGCTGTTTTGGGACATAGTCTTTCTTTGCTCTGGTTACTCAGCTATTGTGAGCCATAAGCTATTGCTTATGAATTTGAAAGCTCCTCAAAATTTCTGGCCAGCTGATGAGATCTTCTTCCTTTCTGGCACCATGAGTGCTGCCTTCTGTTTATCTTTTATGTCATTTCCAGGAAAGCTGTAAGGAGAAATAGGAAATCTGGTTCTGCCACCTCGAACAAGGATTGATTTGGATGTTTTGCATATCTAGTTCCTTTCCCGCTTCTTAGATGGGAAGAAAATCCAGGTCACTATTGGAAAGCTCTTTCTTTTGGCATCTTTGGGGGGAAGAAAAGGCAATCGCTCTTCTGTGAGAACGCAGCTTCCAGCCTCTGGGGGACACTACCTTCGGCCGTGAACGGCTCATGAAGAATGGGCCGGTGGCCACGTCCACAGGCATTTCTGGAGTTGCACCAACAGTACAGCGGTTGGCACCAGCCGCTGCCAGCCTGGATTTATATGACTCTGTTAAGGTCCTCTGACTCGAGCTCCAGTGGTTCTGAGCCTACTTCAGATCCAGGAGAATATGTCAGATGCTTATTTTGCAGCCCTGGAAGCAGCAGTCATGAAGACGGGTGAGAGGAATTTAGGACTGTCAGCATCACGGTGTCCCTCCAGATGGCAGGAGGATCTTGGAGATTTGTCTGTGCGGTAAATCCACCCTCCCCTTCACAGAAGCACACGTTGTGTCCACTGCTCATTCCACGGACACTTGAACTTCTTACCAAAGCATCCAGTGGATCAGATGTCTATTTGTTTATGGCGTGTGTGGGGGGGGTGTTGATGTTGTTGTTGTTTGTTTGTTTTTTGAGACAGGGTCTTGCTATCTAGCCCAGGCTGGCCTCGAACTTGCAGAGATCCTCCTGTCTCAGCCTCTTGAGTACTGGGATTACAAGGGTGCACCAGCACACCCAGCTCCAGATACTTGGTAATTTACACTGTGTGTTCTTCCAAACCTTGTCTTGGGCACTTTACATGTATCCTCCCCAGCCTCCCCCAAAGGAGAGTAGCAGCGGACACAAGGTCATGGCAGCTGCTGGCCCTGCACTGCACTATGCCCCATTGAAGCTGCTGGGCTGAGAGCAATAGAACAGCGGTTTGCAGGTGCCGCGGAAGCATCAGTGTGGAGACAGCGCCTTTGAGGATGGGACAATGTCCTGCAGGACGTAGCACGCCCTTCAACCAGTGGCCATTATGTGGCTATGTTCCAGTACCGAGGATATATAGGTCTGGAAATCCAGGTTTTAAATTACGAGTGGCCTTTAGTGCCATCGCTGTCAGTGACTCCTTGGGGGGTTGTGTGCACCTCACTTCCTGCATCTTCTAAGATCTAGAGGTCTAGAGGTCCTGGCTCCTAGAGTTGGGGAGCCTCTGCCAGGGGAAGCATTCCATTCGACTTTAAGCAAGAGCTGCCATCCGGCAACTTTGGGCTCCTTTGATTAAGAAATAAGCAAACGAGAAAGGAAGTCACCATTCACCAGTCAGAAATTGATCTTCACCACCAGGAGCAGGTAGGGCCACTGTTATATAATCAGGGCACCCCGGTAATACACAGAACATTTGTCAGGAATGCCCTGCAGATGAGTACAACAACAACCTAAGGAAACACGGTGACGAGGGACTTAGATCCCCCAAGCATGGGGCCTTCGTTCTCCCCACCAGGTAAACTTATCTAATTCAGCGGAAGTGCCAGCCAAGGGTAAGGAAAATCTACAGCGGGTGGCGGAAGAGAGAGGAAATAGGCATCATTTATAGTCGTTAGACCAGCAACAATAGCGAGGCATGCTTTATCCCACAGCCTTCCTTGTATAAGCGTCTACAGGAAGAGACCAGCCAGAATCTTGGAGGAACTATGCTTGGGTTGGGTGAAAGCCTGCTGTAAAGCACACTGTTCCATAAGATGCAAGGGGTGGACTGTGGTAACTGGAGTGAAAGAAACAAGCGGGACATTTCATTCCAAGATCACGCTCCCTCCTTAGGGGCAGCTCATAGATAATGACTGGTTGGTGTGAGCGTAGAAAGTTCTAGTCCCTTGCTTCATTGAGAACAACTCTAAATGGCTATCCAGCTTCTGAACCACAACAGACTATTTTGTAGGATGAACTGCATGGAAAGAGGAAGAGGCCAGGACAATGCCCAGAACAGCTGAGCCTAAGGAAAGCTGCTGGTTCAGTTTTGATTACCGGTAGGGATGAGATCTACGAGAATCAGAAGCTCAGGCTATAGAGGGAGACCAGGGGAAACTTGTTAACTGTCCCGAATGCCCGGTCAAAAGTAAGCAACCACTGAGAGTTCTTGAGCAGGGCAGGTATTTGGAGGAACTTCATATCGATGTCATTGTAGTTCCTTCTTCTGTACGCTTCTGCTTTTCTTACTTGCTTACAGGTGTTGATGCCAGTAACCGCCTTCATGCCAATCTCTATTTCAGTTTGTTTCCAAGGATCCCCTTTGTCTGAGTCAGTGTTCCCACTGCTGAGCAAAACATCCAACACCCACAACTTGAAGGAGAAATTTAATTTGGCTCAGGGTCTCAGAGGATTCAGTTCATGGTCAGCTGGCTCCAAGGCAGGAGCATCATGGTGGAAGGGTAGGTGGAGCAAAAGCTGCTCAATTCATGGCAGCCAGGAAGCAGAGCAGGGAAACAGGACCAGAAATAGTCCCCAAGGTCACATCTCCGTGACCCACACAGACACACCCACAAGTGTGCTTTACTAATTCCCTAGGTAGCTCCCAAGAGGATCAAATTGACAATCCAAGCCGGGCGTGGTGGTGCACGCCTATAATCCCAGTATTCAGGAGGCTGAGGCAGGAGGATCGCTGTGAGTTCAAGACCAGCCTGGGCTACATAGTGAGTTCTAGGTCAGTCTCAACTATATACTGAGACCCTGTCTCAAAAAACCAAAAAAAACAAAAAACAAAAAAAGAATCAAGTTGACAATCCATCTTAATGCTCCCACCATCCTATACTAGGGGCCATGTTGCGCTTGCTCAACACTTAGCCCCAGCACCCAGCATGGGCCTGTGCTGTCACCGATGCTCAAGCAAAACTGGCTAAGTAAAGGAATAAAGTACCAAGAATCTATACGCTCCTCTCAAAATCTCCCTAAATTATCACCGTAGAATGCTTTAGCTCCAAACCATCTTACCCATAATGTAGATTAATATGTTTAAGTACCTCCCCTGCTCAGGAACCCTTAGTGGCTCCCCAATATCTATAGGCAAACCCTTTGGCCTGGCATTCAAAGTCTCTAGTAGGCTGGCCCTGGCTCACCTGTCCACCCACAGCCTCCACTTCTCATAAGTGTCATCCCTAGAGCTAGCCAAAGCCGGGTCAGTAGCCTTCCTCAAACTCTACTGCAGTTGTCTCTTTTCACACTGTTCCCTTCCTATGAAACGGTCCGCACCTTCCGTGAGCCCTGATGATTTACATTCTTAGTAGCAAGGCAGTAAAATGCAATGATCAGAGCCCAGGCCCTACAGTTAGGGGGACCGGGTTCATACTACAGCCCTGGAGCAAGTTATTTTACCTCTCTGTTCCTCTTTCTCTGTAAAACGAAGTTACTCTAAAACTTGCCTTATCGAGAAAAGGGGGAGATTAAAAGAGAGAATCTGGGTGAATTGTTTAGAGCAACACCTGCCTCACTGTAAACACTAAACGTGGGCTCTTCTCTTTCTTGGGGGCAATCCAATATAAATTTTTCTACTTGGGCCATATACTAAACATTCGATTCTCTTACTGTAGACACAATGATAGGTTAAATGAAAGGTGCATCGTACGCCATGAAACTTTATTTACAAACCTGGTCAGCAGGTCAGATTCAGTCCTCCTGTTATAGTTTCCCAATTGCTGCTCTAGGACCCAGCACAAATGAGAGTCTCCTCTGCCCCCCACCCACCCAATGACAGCAACAACAACAAAGCCACCCCGAGTCATACACGGTGAGCCTCATTCCTACCTCCTTCGTGTCTAGGTCGGAGGGACTGCAGGCTGTGCTCCTGGTGGCCAAGAGCACGGCGACCGCAGGCACACAAGCTCGGGATCTTATTCCCGAGTCCGCACGTTGACTAACTGGGAGGGCACCCGCTGAGCCTCAGTTTCCTCAACCGAAAAGTGCAGATCGCAGTGACCCAGTGCTGTGCTCCTCCTGGGTTGCTGTGATGTGTCGGAGTGAAACGTCCAGCCCATGCTAGGCCTGTTACTCTTACGATTCCGCTCGGCGCCCTTCTGGTTATCCTGCCGTTGCTGTCACCAGTCATTACGACACCTATAGGGGTGCTGTTCTCTTGCTATAGCTTAGCTCCTGATACCTGAAGCTGGGGTATAGCACGTCCAGTCCCCGAGGCCAGGAACACATGTACAACAACCTCCCTGCTTCCAAAGAGAACAGTTCTGAGACATTCCCCAGATACCAAAATCTGAGGACTTGGAGTCCCTTAAACAGAATGAGGCTGTATCACGTAGATCCTATGAAATTCTCCCATGTACTTCAAACCTTCTCCAGCTTACATGTAATACAACGTCAGTGCTTGTGAATAGCTCTTATACTGCATTGTTTAGGGAATAACAAGGAAAAAAGCCCGTTGTGTTTGATACAAATGCAGGGTTTTTGTTCCTCCCACAAATTTTTTTTTTTTTTAGAGACCCGGTCTCACTATGTAGTTGAGGCTGACCTGGAACTCACTGTGTAGCCCAGGCTGGTCTCGAACTCACAGAAACCCTCCTGCGTCAGCCTCCCAAGTGCTGGGATTACAGGCGTGCTCTACCACGCCTGGCCTCCCACAAGTATTTTTTAATCCAAGGATGCACAACCAAGAAATACAGAGGGTTGACTGCAGTTGACCAGCTGCCTGGCTGGACCTCCACAGCTGGGCATTTACTTACGACTGCGGGACCCCTCCAATCCCGAAGCCCACCAGGCCTCGGAGCACCAGGATCCAGCTATACACAGGAGCGAAAGCACTGAGGATGCCGTAGTAGAGAGTCCAGAGCACACTGATCTTCAGCCCCTGCAGAGGAGGACAACACGGAGTCACGAGGGCTTCTCAGCACCTCCGGAGAGCAGGGGCCCTGTACCACAGAGAGCTACCCAAAGGGGCAGGAGCTGGAGCTCTGGCAGAGGGCTGGCCTAGCATGTGTGAGGCCCTGGGTTTGAAGCCCAGGAAGGAAGGGAGAGGGATGGAGGGGAGGAAGGAGACCATGAAAGAACAGCTGGGTGGGAATCCCTGTAGTCCGGGAAGCAAGAATAAGAAAGCATCATTTCTGTACTGTAAACCCATTACTGAGATTGGCTCCTGCCACATAGATACTTAATTCTTCTCTTTGGGCTTAAGCAAATTGCAGAGGAAGTCTCTTCCTCGGGACTCAAGGAATCTTAAATCAGAGCCTAGCCGTAATTAACAGCGGAGAAAACAGGAGGAACGAAGCAGAGCAGGAGGAGAGGAGAGAGGGAGAGAAGAGGGTGTGGAGACCGGGCACTGAAGCTGAGCCTCATGGTACCACGCTGCCCCCCACCTCACCCCCCAGCGACAGGCAGTCCCGTTTGGTCACAACAGATGGCAGCTGCCTCTGCACTGGCCGGATGATGCCAGGCTTCCCAGCGGCCCAGAAAACATGCGAGTGCTGTCGTGGAGCTCTTGTGGGACTCCGCAGAAGTGCCTGGAGGGCTTTCTCCTTCATACAGCTGTTACTCTGCTTGCCACTGACCTGCCCTTTACAGATTGGTAGCTCCTGCCTGCCTCCCAGCCATGTGGGCTGCCAAAATAGATACACAGACATCATCCATTAGATAACGTCGTTCGTTAAGTGTGTACGGAGCACCTGCTATAAGCCAGACACTGATAGATATTACCTACTCATTCATTATTTATCCAGGATATGTGTATCGAACACTTACTGTGTGCTCTCGTTATCTACTCTAAGCCAGACACTGATAAATATTATTCATTTTCTCTATCTGCATGTATTGAGCACCTGTGCTGTGTGCCTGGCATTAGAGCTACTGTATATACTACTCATTATTTGTTCAAAATGCATATATTACGTGCCTGCTGTGTGCCTGGCTTTAGAGGCGCGGATACATACTATCCCTTCATCCCTTCACCCACACGCTATGTACATACTGAATACTTGCCGTTGGCTAGGCACTGGGCTGCAGCCGAGGACAGGACAGCCGCAGAGTGTCCGACTTCACAGAGTTTTCGTTTGCATTTCAAAAATCACTGTCACTGAGTCCTCACGAAAACCCCATGGGAAGAGATTGTTTGTATTTCTGCTTTACAAATGAGCGTAGCAAGGGCCAACGTAGTGGAGCGGCTTGCTCTAAATTAGCCAGTGGCACAGCCAAACCTGGAGCCAGGGCGTCCAGCCCTCACTGCTGTACTTCCGGTAAGCTGCTCGCCTCCCTCCAGGGCCTTCGAGGGCTCTTCGCTACCTCTGGCAAGAGCACAAAGGCACCATGCACACGGCAAGGACCCCTACTTGGCTCTAGCCAAGTGACCATGACACAGAATGGGACCCACTTGGGTTTTTTCAAGAAAAACCACACTGTTCATTTTTTTATGAAAAATACATCATTTTTTAAAATGTAGACAACTGCCTCAAAATCCCATAAAATATTGGAAGGGATAAATAAAACAGGTCTGGAGGGGCAGCTCAGCTGTAGAACATGTGCTTGGCTTGCTCGCAGCCCTGATTTTAACCCCTAGGGAGCAACGACGAAAACACGGGGGTGAGGAGCACATTTGGCCACGGCTGTCCAGTCTGCAGTGTGTACCCTGGAAAGCCTGGTGTTGTGGGAGCCAGCTGGGTCCCACGGTGCTCTCCATCCTCAATGACAAGGACAACATTCACGGGCCACGGAGACCCAAGCATCCGCCAAGAGGCGGAGTCTTACTGCCCGCCAGGTGCCTCATTTTTCTCATTAAAGATAACATGGATCTGGGCCGGGGATTCGGTTCACCGGTTCTACCGCCTGTCTTGCATGTGCAAGGTCCTGAGTTCGATCCCCAGTACCAAAGGGGGGAGAAAAGATAACATGGATCTAAGAGCTTTTTTCTTGTTTTGTTTTCTTGAGAGAGGGTCTTGTTATGTGGTCCAGGCATTAAACTTGCTATAGAGCCCAGGCTGACTTTGAATTTGAGGCTTTCCTCCTGTTTCAGCCTGGAATTGCAGTCATGCACCCTAATGCCCTACATTTGAATTAGCTAGCGAGCCGACCATAGCATATTCTGAAGTTTGTTTTTTTTCCTTCGAGCTCAAACAGTAAGTTATCATTTATCATGTTCTAACCATATATCAGCAAACACCTAAATATATTCCATACATTTTCTTATTGAATTCCCCCAACAACATTTTGTGCTCTTGTTATCTACTCTATTTTGCAGATGGGGAAACTGAGGCCCAGGGAGGTGAAGGGACTTGCCCTAGGTTATTACCTTGCTCAACAGGGGAGCCCTGGGATATGAACCAAGGTGTGTTCATCACCCTGACTTCAGGACCATGGTCGTCTCCCCCTATCCACGGCTGCCACACATTCCTAGGCTGTAGAAGCTTCTGTAGGAACCAGAAGGCCAGCCCCTGTGAGATTACGCAGCAAAGGCACACAGCGCACACCCTCTCGGAGCCTCCCAGCTGGGCCGGGGTGGATGGGGAGATTCTCTGGCTGCCAAGACTAGCCAGCTGCCGCTCCAGAGGAGCTCCTCGGAAGCTTTCTAATTACACCCTGGTCCTTGCTCCCCGAGGCTGCGGCAGGATTCCATGCTGAGCGGGAGGGGCCCTGCAGTCTGCGGTGCTCTCTCCTCTCCTTCTGGTCACCCCAGCTTCGCGTAGGGTGTGGAATTTTGCCAGGTGGTCAGGTGGGACACCTTATGGGGAGCCCCTCTCCAGCTTCTTCTGTTCGGGATGGAAAAATGGGATGGGTAAATGAGCAGCTGAATTCGGGGCCACGATCCAGCTAAGACTCGGAGCAGCCAAGATCAAGGAGAAGGACAAGGACTCTGAAGGCAGATGCACCTGTATTTCAATGTTCGCTCGCCATCAATGGGTGCAAGCATGACAAACAATAGAAATTAGGGGGCTGGAGAATGTCCAGGGGACAAAACTTGGCACCAACAGCATCATCTACGTTCTTCAAAGCTCACGGTCAGGCTCCACGATCAGAAGAGTCCACAGCGGCCTTGCAGCAAGGTCTTCTCACGGTCCTCCAGCACCGCTCCTCATTCTGTCTCCCAATTGCTATAGCAACCGAGGTTTTGCTACCTGAAAGTGACCACGCACCATGGAGAGAAGCTGGAGGGTGCACTTAGAAGAAGAGTTTGCCTTACCGTTTTCCTGCCGTACTGGTCCGAGATATTTCCCCAGAGTGTGGAGCTGGACATCATGCCTATGAAGACCACCTGTGGGTGGAAAGCTTCTGTTAGAAGCCAAGAAAACGAGGGCAGCAAATCAAACCTCAGGAACATCGCTGAGCCAATGTCTGCGAACCGGTCACAGTGCGAAGTATTCTAGGTGCTGCGTGCTGCGTGCTGCCTGGAGCCTCGCAGTCATCGCGTGGGGTGAGTGCTGTTGTTATCCCCATTTTCCAGATGAGGAAACTAAGACTCAGAAAAAGTAAAACCAAGAGGTACAGCCTGGACTGGACTTAGGCAGTCTGGCTCCAGAGCCAGGATTTTACCAGCTCCTCACTACAGCAAAGAAACATCTTGCCCTAGTGCTGAGAAAAGATCAAGGGCCAGGTGTGATGGTAAATGTCTATAATCTCAGCCCTTAGGAGGCCGAGGCAGGAGGACGCCAAGTTTGAGTCCCACCTAGGTAACTTAGCAAGACAATGTCTCAAAATATTTTAAAATAGTAATAATACTAAAATAAAGGGCCGGGGATCTAGCTCAGTGGTTCCACCACCTGCCTGGCAAGCAGAAGGACACGAGTTCGATCCCCGGTACCAAAAATAAATAAATAAAATAAAATAAAAAAGGTCTTGAGATGTAGCTCAGTGAAAAGGCCCTGGGTGCAATCAATTGTACTAGAGGAAAGAGGAAGGAAATCAGGGAGGGTAAAGAAAAGAACAAGCGTTACAAGTTTGGAAGGTGTGAAGATGGGCACTAGATGAGCTGTAAACCACGAGTAAGAGAAACCCCTGTTGAACACTTGCTTAGCATTCAGAAGGCCCCGGGTTCAGCCCCCAGCATGGGGTGGGTTGCAGGTAGCACAGGCACTCACAGGTTGCTCGCTGAGCCAGGCAAAGTTGTAAAAGTTACACTATTAATCCTCCGATTGAAGGAGTTGATGCCGTTTGCGTGATCACCTCCATTTGATGGATGGGAACCCTAGACTCACACAGGCCAAGGACCTGCCTAGTGTCCCCAAGAGGAGAGGGTAGTGATAACTCTTAAAGTCAGGCAGACTGACCGGGTCCTGAACCTGGGCTGTACCCTCACGAAGGGCTAAAAGCTCGCTGCACGCATTTTACCTAGACTTCATGCAGCCCCACAAGGTGGCGCTGTTATCACCCCAGTTTTCCCGGTAGGGCACGTGAGACCCAGAGACCGGAAGGCCTCCTCTCAGCTCTGCCCCTTCCCAGGAGCGCCGCTCCTGGCCAGTCCTAGGGCAGGAGGCCAGCCCCGCGCGTAGAGGAGTCTTTTCTTTCACCTCAATGGGGATGGGTTCCAGGACTCCCTGCAGACCCCAGATCAGTGGATGCTGAAGTTCTTAGGTAAAACAGCTTTGTGTTTGCCTATAACATGCACACATCTTTTTGTGTATTTTAAAGCATCCCTAGATGACTCTCAATCCCTGGTACGGTGTCAGTGTTATGTAAATAGTCGTTATACTGCCTTGTTTAGAGAATAATGACAAGGAGAAAATGCCTAAGTTCAGGACAGGTTTTTGTTTTTGTTTCTGAATATGCTCCATCTATGGTTGATTGATTCCATGAATTCAGATCCTGCTGATAAGTAAGGCCAACTTGGGACTGGAGTGGAGGGTAAGGTACAGCTCTTGCGTAGCATGTGTAAAGCCACAGGTTTCCTCCCCAGCACAGCAAAAACAAAATAAAAAAGGAAGGCCAGCTGGGCTCAGCGGCATTCCAAAGAAGTGACAGACCTGGGTCATCTTAAAAGAATGAATTCCCAAGTCCCCAGCTTCCTCAGGGACTCTTTCCCGGGGCCAAATGAGGGGCCCGACCGGTTTCCTGCCACTGTTTCTCTTCCACCACCACTCCCCACTGCTGCCTTTGCTAGTCTCTTTGCTCGCGCCTCAAAATGCTTTGCTTTGCTGTGTAAAAGCTTTAGGACGCCGCAAGAAGGAACACAAGTCCTTTTGCAAGTCATCTGGTCTCCAGTACTACTATTATCATCATCGTTATTTTGTTTGTGAACTCAGGACCTCATGCACGGTGGTAGGCCAGCACCGTACCACCAAGCTATGTCCCTACTTTTTTAAAGAGGGGAGAGGTTTATTTGGGCTCACAGTTTTGTTTTGTTTTTTGTACCGGGGATCGAACTCAGGACCTTACACTTGCAAAGCAGGCAGCAGAACCACTGAGCTAAATCCCTGGCTCACAGTTGTAGAGGATTTAGTCCATGGTTGGCCGGCTCGAGGGAAACGGCCTGCCAGATGGGCATGGTGGGGGAAAGCTGACTAACCTGTGGGAGCCAAGAAGAATAGAAAGAAGGGACAATCTGGGGACCTTTCTGCCTCATGCGCCCAGCATCTGCCTCTTCCAACTAGGTCCCACCTTCTTTTTTAAAAAATATTATTGTGCCAGGGATTTAGCTCAGTGGTTCTGTCACCTGCCTTCTAAGCGCAAGGACCCGAGTTCAATCAATGGTATATATATAT